GCTCTTCTTGTTAACGCATTCAGCCTTCCCAGCGCGAAGGTGCGGACAGGTGAAGGCCCCGGCCAGGGCGCAGTGGCACTGAGGGGCAGGGCTGGGTTTGAACTCAGGTGACACTGCTGCTTCCAGCTCCTTATTCTGAGAGCTCTCGTGCCGAGGCAAGCACACAGGGCGGCTAGGAAGGCCCCTGACCCAGCCAGGGCCCCAAGAGGCCGTCCTGGAGGAAGTGCCACCCGCCCCTAGCTTGCTTACCACTTGTCCCTCCCTCTCCCGGTGTGGCGGGCTCTCCCCGCAGTGGACAACCTGGACCCCAACTTCCAGAGCGACCAGCAGAGCAAGCGCACACCCCTGCACGCGGCCGCCCAGAAGGGCTCCGTGGAGATCTGCCACGTGCTGCTGCAGGTCAGCGCGGGCCGGCCCTCCGCCTCATTGACCAGGCCCCGGACCCCTCCCCCCAGCCTCCCGGGTGCCAGCCCTCGTGCCCCCTCCTCGCAGGCTGGAGCCAACATCAACGCAGTGGACAAGCAGCAGCGGACGCCGCTGATGGAGGCCGTGGTCAACAACCACCTGGAGGTGGCGCGCTACATGGTGCAGCGCGGGGGCTGTGTTTACAGCAAGGTGCGGACGCCGGGCGGCCGGGGGAGCGGACCCCAGAACACAGGGCCCAGGTGTGGGGTGCTGGCCAGAGGCCTCATCTGCCGTCTCCCTCAGGAGGAGGACGGCTCCACCTGCCTTCACCACGCAGCCAAGATTGGGAACTTGGAGATGGTCAGCCTGCTGCTCAGCACCGGGCAGGTGGACGTCAACGCCCAGGTCAGCGCCCGCCGCCCTCCCCGCCCTGCCCTTATGACCTTGCTGTCTGCTCCTCACTTGGCCTCAGTCTTTCGGCTCCCCCTTCTCCGTCATCTGGCCTCTGACTTATTTTTCTTTTTTTTAAGAGATTTTTGCTATAGGGTCGTGTGCCTGTTGGAGAGACAGAAAGCGAGAAATCACCCCCAGGGGGGATGGCCATGCCACAAGCCTTTTCCATTCTCTCAGGATTTGGGGCACGCACGCACACGCGCCCGGCGTGAGTTTAACCCACCGGGTCCAGGGCTCGAACTCTGGTCAACTCCGTGGGAGTCCAGTGACGTGGTAGTCCATCTGCTGGTCCCCCTCCCCTTTTTTGGGGGAGATTTTTGCTATAGAGTGCACGTGCGAGACATTAAGACAGAAGCAAGAAACCAGTCCCCAGGGGATGGCCACACTGTAATCCCTTCTCCATTTTCCTCTCGGGAACTTGGGCACGCACGCATACGTGTGAGTTTCAACCCGCCAGGTGTGGGACTTGAACCTCGGTCAACTACATGGGAGTCCAGTGACATCACCATTGTGCCATCTGCTGCCCTGGCCTGGCTCTGTGTCTCCCACTGTATCTTGCACTGTTCGTGTCTGTTTCCATCTCTCTCCATTTATATTACTCTTTGTTCGTTTTTATTCTTTTTTTTTTTAATTTGTCATAGGGCACACATATTCACTGGAGAGAGGGGAAACACCGCCCGTGGGCTGTAGTCACTCCACAGCCCTCCCACCTCTCCCTCCTCTCAGGATTTCGGGCTGTGCACACGCGTGCCCGGCATGTTTTTCAGACCATTGAGTCTAGTACTCAGAATGCCAAATCAGACATGTGGGGCCCAGCCACCTCCACCCTGTGCCACCAGCTGGTCTTTCATGCTTCTTTCTCTCAGTGCCCAGAAGAATGAGTTCCTGCCTTAATTCCTGAAAGTGCCCAAGGAGCTGCTTTATTAACTGTTGAGTTTCCTTTCTTCTTTTGTTTTTAATTTGCTTTGGCACGGGTGCTCACTGGGGAGTGAAGGGGAGCTAGCCCTGCTGCAGAGATGGCCATGCAGCAATCCCTTCTCCACCATCCTCCTCTCGGGATTTTGAACATCACCATTGTGCCATCTGCTGCCCTGGCCTGGCTCTGTGTCTCCCACTGTATCTTGCACTGTTCGTGTCTGTTTCCATCTCTCTCCATTTATATTACTCTTTGTTCGTTTTTATTCTTTTTTTTTTTAATTTGTCATAGGGAACACATATTCACTGGAGAGAGGGGAAACACCGCCCGTGGGCTGTAGTCACTCCACAGCCCTCCCACCTCTCCCTCCTCTCAGGATTTCGGGCTGTGCACACGCGTGCCCGGCATGTTTTTCAGACCATTGAGTCTAGTACTCAGAATGCCAAATCAGACATGTGGGGCCCAGCCACCTCCACCCTGTGCCACCAGCTGGTCTTTCATGCTTCTTTCTCTCAGTGCCCAGAAGAATGAGTTCCTGCCTTAATTCCTGAAAGTGTCCAATGAGCTGCTTTATTAACCGTTGGGTTTCCTTTCTTCTTTTGTTTTTAATTTGCTTTGGCACGGGTGCTCACTGGGGAGTGAAGGGGAGCTAGCCCTGCTGCAGAGATGGCCATGCAGCAATCCCTTCTCCACCATCCTCCTCTCGGGATTTTGAACACACGTGCACACGTACCGTGTGTGTTCCAAGTCGCCTGGGCCAGGATTTGAAGCAAGCAATCAGCCTTGTGGGATCCAGCCGCTGCCTTAACCACCACACCAGCGGCCCCGCCCGACTTGAGCTTTCCTGTGTTGGAGTGTTTCAGTCTGGTTGCTGTTCCGGTCTCTGAATTGCTTCCCCCTGGCCAGGAGAAGCCCCTAAAGTAGCTCCTGTGGCCTCTGACATGACCCAGTAGATTCTGAGAGCACCCTGACCTCTAAGCACACCTGCTACGCCAGGCTCGGAGTCTGCCATTTCTCTAAGACTCGACTTTGGACTCCGCATTTGTTGCTCTTAGTCGTTGTTGCTTTTAGCATGAATGGGCAGGCCTACTGATTATGCTGGGTTTTTTTGTTTTGTTTTTTTTTAAAGAAATTTTTGCCCTAAGACGTGTGCTTGCCAGAGAGACAGAGACAGCAAGAAATCATCCTACAGGGGATGGCCACGCTGCAACCCCTTCTCCAACCACCTCTTGGGATCTTGGGTGCACACGCACGTGCACTCGGCCTGAGCTTCAAGCCACCAGGTCTGGGACTCGTACCACGGTTGGTCGTGTGGGAGCCTAACGACATAACCACTACGCTGTCTGCTGGTCCCAAATGAAACTTTTTTTTAAGAGAAAGGTCAGGCTCCGTGGCCTGGTGGTTAAGTCAGCTGTGTTCCACACGGCCGTCCCTGTGATTCAAGTCCCAGACCTAGCCCCTGAGAGACACTTCCTCACGTTTCGAAGGGGGCGCGGATGGGAGAGAGACTGCAGTGTGACCGGTCCCCATGGGGCTGCATTTCCTCTCCTTTGCCTCCTCTCTCTGGCGAGCACATGCGCCCCCTAGCAAAATAAAGGGGAATTGTTTACTTCTCCCACAGGCTTGGGCACAAGGCACTGTTTTGCTTTTTT